TCATGGCACATGGCAAAGAATAAAAGCCTTAACTAATGGCAATCTACCCCCTGAGATTTACGCCATTACGCCTACGCCGGCATGTGTCATTGGTGGGATTCTTGCCAATACGCATCAAATAAAAGGAGCAAACTCAAGAAGCGGGCATCAGGACAATATGTTAATTTAATTTTTTAGTGGACAGAATTAAACCAGAGGTTCAAATTCAGGACCCTAATTCTACCATGATAAGAAGTTTTAGAAGAAGTAACTACAGTATGTTAGTCTGTGCTGGCAAGGCAAAAGAAAAGCAAAACAAATAAAAAAACATTGTGGCATCTTAAAGACTAACTGCTATACTTTTAACGTGAGCAAAGACTTGATTCACGAGACCTCATATTAAAATATAGCAATTAGTCTTTAATATTTTTGTCTCTCCCCCCCCCCCTTCGTTTTGGCCTGATCTAATTCTACCACGAAGCACGGTGTGCATACTTCACAGGCTTGTAGTGAGACTAAAATGGGGCTTGTAATGGAAGATTAGTTGCCTCTGTTCTTTGCCACAGGTAGGTGAGCATCTGAAATTCAGAGGAAGCTAAGAATGCAACCCCGATCAAAATACAGTGGGGATTAGAAAAGAAAATATAAAAAGCAAAAACAGTGGGAATCAGTTCTAAGTCTTCCCACCTCCACGGATACCAAAAACTGCAGAAGAATTGAACGCTATTCAGTGGTGCCTCGCTTTACGATTGCCCCGCATTACGATGAAACCGCATTACAACGATCTTTTTGCGATCGCAAAACGATGGCCTGAATGGGTTTTTTTTTGCTTTGCGATGATCGGTTCCTTGCTTCGGGAACCGATTCTTCACAAAACGACAATTTTCCTCCAGCTGATCAGCAGTTTCAAAATGGCTGCTGTGTAAATAAAATGGCTCCCTGCTGTTTTCTGGGATGGATTCCTCGCTGCACAGGCACCAAAAATGGCCGCACTATGGAGGATCTTCGCTGGACGGTGAGTTTCCAGCCCATTGGAACGCATTGAAGGGGTTTCAGTGCGTTTCAGTGGGCTTTTTATTTTTGCATGACGGCGTTTTCGTTCTTCACTGATTTCGCAGGAACGAATTAATGTCGTAATGCGAGGCACCACTGTACTTTGTATGATCTCTGACTGCCTATAATGGCCGATTCTGGTAAATAAAACCTGGAAATATATATAAATATGTATTTCTGAGTTTATTTAATATTTTCAGGCAGCGGATAAGTGAATTGGAGAATAATGATCCTGTGGATGGAAGAGGGGGATCCTACTTGTACGTACAGACTCCTGATGTTTTTGTTGATTTTCAAAAGGTCTTTGAATACAGCGGTGCCAAGACGTCAGATCTCTCCAAGGTTCCACCGGAAGATTTTTATCCCACCTACGATTTGTCTAACTTCACGTGGGACGGCAAACTAAACCGGACGGCTCTGACGGCTACGTTTCGAGGCGTCAGCGCGGACCCTGGAGGAACATTGCGGAATGGAAGCGTCTCCTTCCAGGTGGGTGGCGCCAGTGCACAAACCCGTCCTTACTGCCTTAGGAAACCGGCATCCTAAGAAACTTACACTTCTCTGTGGCTTTTTCAAGAAGCAAGTTCCTAGTCCACTAGATTGCAGATATCGCTTAAAAGGCGTACAAGTGATGCTTGCCGGAATCTTGAGAGCCAGAAACCAGCTTCAGCAGAATTATAAGTCATCCAGGGGATGTGGGATCGGTGTAGGTTTTTTTGCCTAATTAGGCAAACATGCCACTCTTGTATAGAGAGTCCAGTTGGAACGAGATATCTGGGGTGGTTCCCAGAAACCTGTGCAGGGAGGGAGATGCACATAAGGCACAATATGGAGGTAGAAATACAGTATATCTCTCTTGCCTCCTGGTTTCCCCTCCTGGTGCCAGAATTTTGCTTTGGGGATTCTAGGCGACATCTAGAAGCCCTAGAATTACGAAAATCCCACCCCTCTCCACTATTTTGCATGACGGTAATTAAATAGCCACACATGCGCTGTTTTCAAAAGCTGTATGAGGTCTTTGTACTATGAAATTTGCCTACAATGGAGGTTTGCAATTCCTGGAGGCCTTTGCAGGGGGGTAGAGGGTTTCTCCCCTTTTGGGGTGATTTTTTTCCCCATCATCTTTTAGGGGAGGTGTGCTGGGAACTCTTTGACAGACTGGGCCAATTTCAGCGATGTAGGGAAAAGGAAGGAGAAAAGCCCCAAATATTGCAGCGTTTTGACGATGGAACCGTTTTGCATCGTTGCGACCTTGCACGGATCAAAGTCGACTTTTTCAGAGCCTCGAGAATAAATGCATGGTCCCTACACCCATCTCTGTGACCAGTTGAAGATACAGATAATAGACAAAGTGACAATCGCTCGTCAACACGGGAATGAGGTTGTCGTGATGTCAGTCGCTTCGTTTAGCAAGTCCTGAACGAGGCTAAAGTGATGTTCCCAGTTGACTTGGGATTTGTTCCTGGGACGAAGAGCAAGATCTGCCAAGGGAGCAATATGAGGGGGGAGAGTTACCCTGGCAGATGAACTGTGTGATTTAGGAGGCCTCAAGCAGCCTATAGGCCTTCATGATTTCAATTTCTGTATCAGAACAGAGATAGGAAGACATAAATGTCTTTACGTTTAGCCTTTACGTTTAGACCGAGGGGAGATAGGATAGCGCTTTTCAAAGACTTGAAAAGTAGTTCTACAGAGTAGAATTGGTTTTCGATCATCCGTCCTAATGGGCTCAAGTGACAGGAAGCCAGCTTTAGGCTGAATATCAGGAAAAACTTCTCAACTGTTAGAGCAGTACAACAATGGAACGCATGACCTTGGGAGGGGGTGAGGGTTCCAACTGTAGAGATATTCAAGAGAAAATTCGGCAACTGTCAGATTTGCTGTGATTTCGATTCCTGCCTTGAGCAGGAGGTCGGACTTGATGCCTTATAGACCCTTTCCAATTCCGTTCTTTGATGAGTGTATATTTCATGGTTCTGAGTGTTCTTAAATGGCAGTCCCCCAAGATTTCATGACTCTACCAGCTGAAACGGCTGGGAATTGTAGCCTCCCACTCCCACTTTTAGAGGCAGCAGATACAGGAAGCAGAAGGAACCAAATGACTTGAGGTTTTTTTTTTTCCAGACGTCGCTGTCGGACATGCCTTTTGGCTTGTCCCGGCACACATGGTATGTAGTTGGGACTCTCTTGCCCAGAGAGTCCCATCTTCCTCTTGTCGTTTTCCCACGGCGTCTTTCCAGGTGACGGCGTTTGAAGAGACCAGCCGCGATGCCTCCCTTCCACATTTCCTACACACGGCCAACAGTTCCAAAGTGGAATTTGTCATGCGAGGGGTGGCTAATCGGGGTAACCATTCTCGCTTTGCCCTGGAGATGCTCATGGTGGAAGAGGGAGCCAAGGGCAAGCAGCTGCAATCCATCCGCTCCATCGACGATGAATATACTCCAACAATATTTGAGGTATAACTAGTACTGGGACAAAACCTGCAGTGTTTAGTATGGGGTGGGAGTTCTGGAGGAACAAAACCTGCAGTGTTTAGTATGGGGTGGAGGGCTAGGAGTAGGTTGAGTATTATACAGTGGTGCGTCGCATAACGAGCGCACCGTTTAACGACAAATTCGCATAGCGATCTATTTTTTAGATCACTAATGCGATCGCATTGCGATGTTTTAATGGGTAAAACATCGCATTGCGATGATCGGTAAGTGTTTCACTTACCGATCTTCGCATTGCGATGTTTTTTTAAATAGCTGATCGGTGGTTCGAAATGGGAGGGAATGTTGATAGAATGTTTTCACGGAGGGCTGAATAAAAGTTTCTGTTTTGCACAAGCTGTTATGAACTGCAGCCCCAATCCTCCACAATGTGCCTGAATTTGTCAAGTAAAACCTAGCTGTCCTTAAAGTGCTGCAGGAGTCTTCGTTTTTAATGAGGTGGTCTTCTCTTTAGTCTTTCCCCACCATCAGAAGCAGCTCAAGATAGTTTGCTTTCCTGAGCAAATTGCAGTGTGTCTGGCCCCAGCCGTCCAGTTAGGATAAATAATGGCCGTTTTGAAATACAGGAGCACCTCGGTTTGCGAAACATCTGTTCTCCGTGATGTTACATTGTATGGAAATTTCGCAAACCGAAACACCAATGGCGCCGTGCGCCCTGGGGAGAAAAAAACTGTCAACATTGTATGGAAATTTCGCAAACCGAAACGCCAATGGCGCCATGCGCCCTTGGGAGAAAAAAACTGTCGTAGTGCGAAAAAAAAGAAAACAATGTAAACTGGAGCTTTATTTCTTATGGATTTCAGTTTGTAAACTGAAAATTATGTAAACTAAGGGGTTCGCAAACCAATGTATACATTTGTAAACTAAAAATTATGTAAACTGAGGGGTTTGCAAACCAATGTATACGTGTTACTAGCCATAAAGTATCTAAAATACATTGCTTGTTCAGGACAGCCTAAATCCTCTGTCTGAGGCAGCTGTCTCATCCTATCACATGACAGATATCCTTTCTACCTTGCTGTACCCCTGTATCCATAGGATCATTATCCACAGTTTCACTTATCCATGGTCTGAAAATATTTAAAAATATTTAAAGAAAACAAGAATCACTTATCCATGGTCTAAAAATATTTAAAAATATTAAAAGAAAACAAGAAACTCATATTTTAATGTTGTATTTACCAGTACTGGCCACTAGGAGGAGTCAGAGACCATGCTACGTGTTCTCTGGCTCCCTCTAGTGACCACTTCTGGTAATATAGATTATTTTTGCCATACAGTGTTTGCTGCTCACAGTTTTTAGCATTTGTGACGGGGCTTGGAACCAATCCTCCATGGACACCGGGGGGGCCTGCCCTGCCCTTCAACCCCCTTCCAGTTCCCACATCTTTCCAGCTACCTTGTTCTCCTTTTCTCTCTCTTCCCCAACCAGATGGTCCAATTGGTTTCAGGGCCCCACAACGACAGCTTTGGCTCAAGTTTCATCCAGTGGAAGACGGTGGCATACAGCTCCCAGCATGCCCTGCGCGAAGACACAGTCCACTGCCAGTACTACCCGCTGCAGGCGGTCAATGGCACCGTTTCTGGGCCGAGTATTGTCCACGCCTACTTCACGAAGGAACTTGAGACCCAGTACAGTGTGTCTGCCATCAATGTTTCCTTCGGCAGTGAGGACAACGAGTCTTATCAAGAAAAGGGCTACTTGAGCTGGTAAGAAGTACAGTGGTGCCTCGCATAACGAGTGCACCGTTTAATGATGAATCCGCATAGCGATCTATTTTTTTAGATCACTAATGCGATCGCATTGCGATGTTTTAATGGGCAAAACATCACATTGCGATGATCGGTAAGCGTTTCGCTTACCAATCTTCGCATTGCGATGTTCCTAAAACAGCTGATTGGCAGTTGCAAAATGACCGCCGGGTGCCAAAAATGGCTGGCGCAACCATTTTCGCACGGTTTCCTCGCTTACGGAGGGTGCGAAAATGGCAGTGCTATGGAGGAACTTCGCTGAACGGTGAGTTTGGGCCCCATAGGAACGCATTAAACAATTAAACTCCGTTTAATGCATTACTATGGGGACAAAACTCACCGGCAAGCGAAGATACCCCAGGGCAGGGCGTGTGGAAACGTCATTATGCGGGTGGAAAAACCCCATAGGAACGCATTAAACTCCGTTTAATGCATTCCTATGGGGACAAAACTCACCGGTAAGCGAAGATACCCCAGGGCAGGCCGCGAAAACGGAGTGGGCAACCATTTTCTTCTTCCGGCGGCCATTTTGGAACCGCCGATCAGCTGTTCTGCAAACATCACAATGTGAAACGCTTACCGATCATTGCAATGCGATGTTTTGCCACCTAAAACATCGCAATGCGATCACAAAAAACGCGTTGATATGCGGATTCGTCGTTAAACGGTGCGCTCGTTAAGCGAGGCACCACTGTAAATGGAAGAAGAAGATTATAGCAAGAGGTCCCGTCTATGGTGGTGGGGAACACAGTTATATTGTATTTTGGTTTGTGCATTTTATCTTTATGTTTTAAATAAATAAAAACTAAAAAAGAATTGGGATCGACTTGCGAACGGAGCCTCGACCTACGAACAAAAAAAGGCAGGGGAAAAGGGGGGAATTCGAATTTCCAGCCCTTTCCCCCTGCATTTGTGCCTTTTTTTCTTCCCTTGGAACACATTTGATCGGTTTTCAGTGCATTCCTATGGGATGACGGTGCTTCAACTTAAGAACATGTTGACTTAAAGAACGCAAGTCCCCATACGGATTAAATTCTTAAGTTGAAGTAACCTCTGTACATGGTGGCTGACCAATCTCTCTCCTCTCTCTGTCCCTCACCCCACTCTTCATTCCAGGTCTGCTTTGATTGGCTTCGGCGAACCCCCCGAGGATGCCTTCTCCCCCCTCGTGATCGCCATCCTGGCCGTGGCGCTGGGCACCCCAGCGGTGCTTCTGGTGGTGGGGAGCATCACTGTCTGTGTTGCGCAGAAGAGGCAGTACTCCGAGTACGAACCCATCAACTGAGGATCGTTAAAACGGCAGGCTGGCGTAACCAAAACTGGCCACGGACGTGGAGGATCCGTGGCTTATATACCTCTTGCACTCCTCTCCGCGATGTGCTGCTTAATTTATCTCGGGACTGAGATCCTAAAGATGGGTTTCGTCCTCTTAATATTTTCAGGTATTGCATCAGAGATTCCATGATGCTTCTTCCAGTGGTCAACCCGTGAGGAGGAGGAGGACCCGTGTTTATTCACAGTGGCAGTTTTTAGCCACGCTTTCCCTCTTCCTTGCTCATAAGCAGTACTTGAAACCATCACCAACGGACACCTTCCCGTATTTTTACTGTTTACTTTGCTCTCAAACCCTGTGAGAAATTTTGAGAAAGCAATTTTGTGGGGACTTAAGCTTCTCCTTTTGAACTCCTACCTGCAAAAAAATACAATTTTTAAGCTATGACGTGCTGCATAGCTCTGATCTCTGCTAGACGGTGAACATAGGTGCTTAAGGAGAGGGAGAGGTGGCTTCTTATTCGTACATTCACTTCTCCTTTCTCAAAGAGGCAGATTTTTTGAATTGAATGTTCCCCTCCCGTTCTTGACAAAACTCACAGATATTCTTGCTGCGTCTTCATTCAGGTCTGTCTTTCTTTAAGTGGTATTCATGGAAAAATGAGTTTATTGCTTCTCGACCATGGTTTTGACTCCATCAAGGGCTCCTGTCTCTTCAGAGAAGTCAAACTTCTCCTTGATGTGGCTCTTTGAGAAGGGTGGAAGGCTCTAGCGGCTGCTTGTCGAGACGCTTTATGCTTTCAGTTCCTTCCTATCAAGTGACAGTCAAAGGCAGAGGAGTGCAAAATGAAAAATAAGTGAGGAATATATATATATTAAGGGTAAAACCACTAGCTGTGTTGCTTAGAGGCTGCTGCTCATGGAACAGTACAAATTGCACTAAAGTCCTTCTAAAACACACCTTTTCCTAAATTCTTCCCTTGAATACTTGCCATTTTAGTAAATTAATAGGTTATATATTAAATCTTCCACTATTCCAGAGGTTCTCCTGGTTTACAGACGTGGGAATGGAAAATGGGTTCGGAAGGGATTTGGATCTGAGTCTCGTCAGAGTTGGGCCCGGTGAAAAATTGCAAGCCACGAATGGCTAGCTGGGTTCTGGCCTCGGGCCCTCTTGGTCCCTGCCCTGTGTGGACGACGCGTATCGATGCCAAAAACAGAGTTGGCTAAATAAGGGAGCAGGTCCATTGGCCCAATTTTGGCCCACGTGGGCCGGCACGGATTCGTTCACGACCCGGACGACCAAAGGCTGCAACGACGGTCTTTGGCCTCGTTTAGATCTTAGGGCTTAATGTTCTTTGTCAAGCCCAGGTCAACTTCTCAGGACAGGTTTGAAGGGATCGCTTCGGTGAAGACGGAGGTCCTCCGTGAGGTTCTCAGAAATCCCGTAGGCTTAGGGCGACTTTTTAACCGCCGTGATTCAGTCCTTTGGAAGTCCTGGAATTTGTAGTGTACTTTAGTATGAAGAATTCCAGAATCATCACTCCCTAGGATTACAGAGACATCCGGGTCTTTCCCAGAACTACGAATCTCAAGATTCTAGAGGATGGAGCTCCCGGTGCAGCGACGTGCTATCCAACGGCTATAACTGAGTAGCATAGATAGATGCTCACAAGGGTGGATAGGCTTTAACAGAACGGTGAAATAGCGTTTTTGCCTTTTAGCAGGAAATTAATTCTGGCCACCACCGTGCTCTTTGTTCGTTCGTTTGTTCGCTTTGTTTTTCAACACACAGCATTGTATTGTTGCTCCATAGGGGATATGTTGTGCTAAGATGATCTGTTGGGTAGGGGAGGATATCTCTCCCATGCTTTTTTTCTCTCGAGGACCAATTAAATAAACCGTTCCTGCGGTGTTTGCATTTCTGTGTTTCAGTCTTTCAATCTGAGTTTGTCTTCCGGTCAGTCGGTTTGTAGCTTGGGAACGCCTAGTTCAATTTCTAAAGGGCTTCGAAGATCAATGGGCTTAGGGCAACAGAAGGTTTATATATTTGAAGGTTTGAAAATAACCTTCTTGATGTATAGTATTCGTGTCAGTTTGGGCAAAGGAAAGCAGAGCTGTCTGAGGATAGGGGACCATTTCTGGGTAAGGAGACGGCAGAGGGGGTGTTGACCTGCATAAAGTCACAATAAAGAATGTCATGCTTAAAAAGGTAAAGATTCCCCATTACATTGAGTCCAGTCATGTCCAACTCTAGGGCACGGTGCTCATCCCCGTTTCCAAGCCATAGAGCCAGCATTTGTCCGAAGACCATTTCCGTGGTCATATGGCCTGCGCGACTAGACATAGAACACTGTGGCCTTCCAACCAAGGTGGTACCTATTTATCTACTGGCATTTTTACATGCTTTCGAACGGCTAGGTTGGCAGGAGCTGGGACAAGCGACGGCAGCTCACTCCGTTGCCTGGATTCGAGCTTATGACTGCTGGTCTTCTGACCTTGCAGCGCAGAGGCTTCTGCGGTTTAACCTGGAGCGCCACTACATCCCTCTCTGGCAGGGGGATGAGCCTCGCTGCACAATTGAAGAGTGGCTTGCAGACTGTGAACTCCGAAGCAATAGGAACGGAGTGCGGAGCCCGCAGCAACAGTAGAAGGTGAGTGGATGGTCCGGCCCCAGGGGCCTGGATCCTCGGTATGTCCACCTTTGTTGGGGGGGTATTCATATACAAATATTCGTATACAAACATGAATATTCATATACAAATACAAATATCCCCATCTCTAGCTATGAGCCATCAAGATTGGAATTTGGTAGGGGAACGAGAGTGTGATCTCAGAGCGCTTCTTGGAAAGTTATAGAACGAATATCATGACCTGAAGAAGCCAGGGGTAATTAAGAGCTTATAGGATGATGCTCTGCCAATGCTCGATGATGATTCTATAAATACGATAGCACTTTTCAAATATTTGAAAGGTTGTCCTACAGAGGAGGGATAGGATCTGTCCTCGATCCTCCCAGAGTGAACGACACGTAACATGACAGAGGAGGGATAGGATCTGTTCTCGATCCTTCCAGAGTGCAGGACACATTGGGCTCAAGTTACAGGAAGCCGGATTTCGCTTGAATATAAAAAAAAATGTCCTATTAGAGCAGTACGACAGTGGAACCTGTGACTTCGGCAGTTACAGGAAGCCGGATTTCGCTTGAATATCAGGAAAAAACGTCCTATTAGAGCAGTACGACAGTGGAACACCAAGAGGTGAGCGCTCCAGCGCTGGAGGCCTTCAAGAGAAAACTTGGAGAACCATGGATCCGATCTGCTTGGACTGGGATTCCCGCATGATGTCCTTTTAAGTCCCTTCCAACTCAATTGTTCTATGATTCTCTGTTCAACGTAGAAGGCTTCAGCTGTGCTTCCTCCCCTTTGCCCATAAATATAATCACCTACAACAGCTCTGGGAGGTAGGCCACTATTATTAGCATGAGAAGGAGAGGGGAGGATTCTTCTCTAAAGCAAGATGGAAAATAGGAACCATGATTGTGTTGAATCACTCTTCCAGTTTTTGGAGCACTTGGCATTGCCTGCTGCTACAAAAAAGTAAGGGGAACGTGAGGTTGCCCGTCAGTGGTGAAACAGACTAGAGCCTGATGGGCATTGTAATCCAATAACATCTGGAAGGATACATCCTCTTAGCTTAGTCCAGAATGTACTAATACCATAAAATACAGCAGTACTTTGGTTTACGAAATTAATGTGTTCTCTGGAACACTACATCGTCAGCCTTCTTTATGGTCCAGCTCTCACTTCCATACATCGCTGCTGGAAAAACCATAGCTTTGACTATGCGGACTTTTGTCAGCTTCCCCATGCAGCCAACCCCCAGCTGGTGCTTCCCTGCCTCCCCATGCAGCCAACCCCCCAACAGCTGATGCAGGGAGGTGGAGAAACACTGGCTGGGATGCTCCCCGGATTGGTATGACGAGAACTATGCCAGCCACAGGTGTAGCATGGCGAGGAGAAATACCACATGATTCAAGAGCTGGGTCTTGTGAGGCGTTGATGTTTTCATCAGCACTTAAAAGGGGCGCATTCCCAGTTTTTACCCAATAATTGATGAGAGCGAAATCATGGGATTGCTTTCTGTCACAGAACCTGGGAACCATGTAAAACCATTTCTCCGTTCCCCTGTCAAGGCCCCTTTCTATAACCACTCAGCCACATGTCTCTCACTGGTCTTAGGATGGGAGAACTTAGGGTTGGAGCTTAACATAAAATGAAGATTCCCCAAGGTTACACTAAGCATGTGAGTCAGGCTGACATCACTCCCGTAAAAATATTAGAAATCCAGTAGCATTTGAGGGTAGGACTGGTTTTTTTAGTACCGTCCTCTTTCTCAGCCAAAATCCAGACAGTTGCTTGAAATGATCTTTGAGTTTTATTAAAAGAAGAAGAAAAGGGGGAAGAAAGGATCGTTTTAAAGAATAAAAGTTCCAAATGGTTTCAGGAAAAGACTACTCAAAAATTACGACCAAATGTGATTACAGGATTACCAGCATTCAAGCAGAAACTCACCAAAATATTAACATTTAATTTATCTGATTCATATCTAAGCAGAGAGAGGGATTAGTTCTGGGGCATACTCCGAGAGCATTTCCTGGCACAGCTGCATAAAAGGAGACACAACAGTCTCCTCATGAGTCACGCTGCAGCTGGGAAGGAAAGCACGGTCTCCACAGACGTCTGCTAGGCTGAAAAGTCCAGTTTTCTAATTCCCATTTGAAAATTAATATATTAACCATTTTGCACCTGCAGCCCACCTTCACATAATTGCTCTTAATCCCCTTTGATCATTCTACAAGATGAAAGGCAGCTTTCCTGACCCGCCAATTCTACCTAAATGTCTGGCAAAGGAAATAAGCTTACTTTTCTCAGGTCAGGGGTTAAAGCACATGGTGTTAGTCCCCTTGATAGAAGACAGAATTCCATGGAAGAATCTTCTCCTCTCAGTCCTCCTTTGAAGTTACAGGAGGGAAGTGGAAAGTGTGAAATGCCTATTTACTATTTGATCTATGGTAGAAAGTTTCAATACCTTCCCAGACACATAGAAGAGACCAGAAACTGAATTATTTATTTCACATTGCCAAATCTTTAATTTCTTCACAGCTTCTCTCCAGCTTTTTTGGTAGCTCATTCGATGATAGGCGCTGTTCCTTATAAGTGGACTCTCTTCACATTTTCTAAGCAATAAGGATATATTTTATTCCTTGGTTTCTAAGTTTTGCTTTTCCCACGAAGATAGAGTAGCTTGAATATTGGGGCACAGTTTGGTCTCACCATTGAGGGTGAGGGGGGCAAACGGTGACAAACCTTTCTTGTCATTAAGGAGTTTTCATTTACTCTTTTGAGCTCCAGTTATCTGTAGAACTGGGAAGCGGAAGTGGGAAGGGCACCCACTGAGTAGCCAAGTAATATTTCCGTTTTGTTAGGAACAGGATCAATCCTTTTGCAACAGAGGGAACCCATCTGCCAGTCAATAAGGGCCACCGACTCGTCTTCTGGCTCAGAGGACTTCTCACTGTCCACTTCCTCATCCCCAATATCGTGGTTTAGAGCCTGCCAAATGTTGCTCCTTCTCAGTGGGAGACCCACCATTATTGTCTCCTGTGGCAAACATGCTCTCCGAATCCACAAGGAACATACTGTAGAGGTTGAACAGTAGCATGGTAAGGAGTGGCAGGAATGTCAAGCCAAAGCCGAAACCGCGGAAGGAACGGCCCATCGCATAGGCCAGCCAGTAGAAAAGTCTGGAGATTGGGTTGGGAAGGAGAACAAAAAGTAGAAAAGAGGGTCAAACCACACACTTGCCACATCAGTTTAGACTCTCCAAAGAGAAAGCAAAGCCAGATCCTTTTGTTACAATATTAAACCCCTTCATTAGATACACCAGGAATCTCTAGGGAAATTAAAACCAAAAGGACACTGTCTGAAATTTTTATGGGATTTGTTACGGTATTTTTTCTGTGTATAAGACGCCCCCTTTTCTAATCCAAAATTAAGAAATCTAAGTGGGGCTTAGCAATTGTAGGGGGAAAGGGATCAAAGCGCTGCAGGATCGCTTTGATCCCTGCTTTCCCCTCCACTTGTTTTTGTTCTCTCCTCAGCTTACTTCCGTGTATAAGACGACCCTCAATTTTTAGTCTAAAGATTCAAAAGTATAGTCTTATACACGGAAAAATAAGGTATATACCTTAGGACCCCTGTATTCACTGGGGATCATTTTCAAATCTTTCCGTGGATGCCAAAAAACATGGATAGTAGTGAACCCTAGACATAGCATGGTCTCTGTCTCCCTCTATTGACCAGTTCTGGTAATTACATTGTGGAAATGTCTACAGTATTTATGTTTTTTCTTCTAATATCTTTAATATTTTCAGAAAGCACAGATGCTTATCCCATTGATAGAGGGGTCCTACATATGTTCTCAACCATCTGCTGCCTTGGGGAGAAAAGCAGGAGAAAAATAAATAAATCAATCAATTTTTTTAACTAGAAATTCCATCAGCAATAAGCTTTAGTTCAGATATGTGTTCTTACCTCCATAAATGGTTGTACTATGGTTACAGAATTCTTCTATTCTGTTTGATATTTTTATGCTGACTTTTAAATTTGAATAATTTACATATATATACAAATTTTAAAAATTGACATATTGCATGTTTAAAAGATAGGTTTGCTTTAGAATTATGAAACTATTGCTAGGCCTTTTGAATGAATCACTAGAAATGCCAAAAACTCAGTATGAAGAATTTCTCAATCTGATTAATACCCACAGAGTCAAAAGCTAGTTTATATTTATTTAAAAATTTTTCAGCGATCTCATAAAGGTGTATTTTCTACATTCAGACGGTGTACAAAAGACCATATGACATTTCTTTCTCTCTCTCTCTCTCTCTCTCTCTCTCTCTCTCTTTTTGTAAGATTATGGCAGCTACCCTCAATAGCTCACCAGACCCGCTATAGCTCATCTTCAATGGTAATACTTTTAATTTGGCTGCAGCTGATTTACCTAGTACAGTATGAGGACTAAATTCTATCCCTTCTCTGAGAGCGGTTGGCCACATTTCTGTGTACCTCTATTCCCAGGCAAAAGAGCACTCTGTGCTTTGATACAGGGTGATCAGGTGTATGAATTGCTGAATGATTTAGAAAGACACAAAGGTATCACTTACCTTTGTCTTCCAATTGTGCAGAAGGACCCTGTGTGTGTCCCCCCCCTTTCCATTAAAACTCAAGGGTCTAAATCCTGAGATGGGGAAATTTACTTCTTTTTAAAGTATATCTCAGAGACTGACCCACAGGGTCCCTCAAAGCTCTGCAGTTTCAAGATGGTGATGATTATGATTATCATTAACTCCCAGAATCTCTCAGCCCCAACGATCATGTACGGGGGAATTCTAGAAGCTGTAATGCAACAAAGTCAAATTTCCATGCACTGCCTATGTCCCAATGATCTGCATTTACAGTGGTGCCCCGCTTGACGACAATAATCAGTTCCAGGAAAATCGCTGTTAAGCAAAATCGTCGTCAAGCAAAAAACAAAAACAAAAACAAAAAACAAAAACCACAAAAACCATTGGAATGCATTGAAAACCGGTTAATGCGTTCCAATGGGGAAATACCTCATTGTCCAGCGAAGATCGTCCATAGAGAACCGCCGATTAGCTGTTTAAAATAGCTGTCTTCCGAAGCAGGGGTCCGGAAAGCAGCCATTTTGCGAAGGGAGGGAAGCCATTTTGCGGACCCAGAAACATCATTGTTTAGCGAACAAACGGTTCGCGAAGTAGGCTCCTAATCAGCGTCAAGTGAACAAAAACCCCTTGGAACCATCGTTTTGCGATCGCAATAGCGCTTGCAAAAAACTCATCATAAAGCGATTTTGACGTCATGCGGGGTAAGCGTCTAGCGGGGCACCACTTTCCCCATTCAAACTGAACAAGGGAATAGAACAACAGAAGAACACAGAAAACTAGTGAAATTGGTGATATCTGAGCTGCCTGAACCAACCTGCAGAACCTCACCCACAGATATTATTTACAGGCTACTGTCTCCAGTCTTGAGAGGGATCAGATGTCCTGTCTGGTCATTCTGGATGCCCGGTGCACCTGGGGAGTAAATACGGATCTTCCGGGCCATCTATGCATTAGGTAAGGTACTGATTTCAATAGTCAGCTGGCAGGAGAAAGCAGTCGGATCCTGCCCCATCTGATTACCAGTGGTGCACAATGAACCAACTCCAATAACAGCCATAGAGGTTAGACAGTTGGTTTGTGCAACAGGAGATCCACCGTCCAGTGGCCAGTGATTCATGAATCTTGCTTTGGTCACCTTCAACTGGTTATTCTGTCCTCGCTAGACCCCAGGGCTGGGTCTGAGTTGACAGCCCAGAGGAGAATCACAAACAAGTGCTCTTAGCTTTCACGGCCAGGATCCGATGGTTGTTGTGGGTTTTTCGGGCTCTTTGGTTGTGTTCTGAAGGTTGTTCTTCCTGACGTTTCGCCCGTCTCTGTGGCCTGGCCTCTTCAGAGGACCAGGGATCATTGCCCAAAAGAGACCAGCTAAAGAGACCCATCAACCACAGTGACAGATAATCTCTCCCCCTTATCACAACAATACATCCACAACAAAAACACGCTGATCACCATCATCACCCTATCTCCTGAAAAGGACTAAAGCTTTTCCCACAGCTATAAATACTCAACTATCCAACAAACAGCAACAGAGCATGGACAGAGTTCCTACTCCAGTCCTCTGAAGATGCCGGCTACAGAGACTGGCGAAACGTCAGGAACAACAACCTTCAGAACACGGCCAAAGAGCCCGAAAAACCCACAACAACCATCGCTAAGCATATAGTGCCAAGTCGTCCATACAGAGCACGATATTGTAGTCTCTGGAGACTGAAGGGTGCCTAATCTAAGAGTTGGGAAAATACCATTAATTTTTATATATCCATATATTCTGTGTCTTCACCGTGAGTTCATCAGTAGTCTCCCATCCAGACTCCGACTTCCTTCGGTGCAGGACGACACCTTGATGAGCCTGACGTTTGTGCTAGGATCCATGCGCTGGAAAAAAATCAACGTCCTTCCAGCTTCAAGACACGGCTCACAAAATCACGCCGTAGGGCGAAGTGGGCCACTTTCGCAGCCTGGGGGAGGGGGACCCATTTCACCCATGCTGGGTCCCTTTAGGAGCTGTACCAACTCTTGTGTCACCAAAAGGGGACCAAAAGCAAGTCCAGAATCCTATTCATTTGCACAACCACCGAAGGGACATCGTCCAGGCACTCCCTTCTCCAGCTGGTTGTGAAACTGGGTGCATCGCAAACCGCTGTAGAGAGGAGGCGAACCTCTGCATGACTGCTCCCCCCATATGTGTTTTTTTTTTTCTCGGCTGGATTTTGGCTCACAAACCCATTCATTAAAAAAAAATCTGTTGTTTTTTTTAATCAATTGTATGTTTATAGTTATAAAAATAAATAGTACAAAAACTATGTGGCACCTTGAGGACTGAACTGCTATATTTTAGGACGATCTTTTGTGGACATGTCCAGTGAAATAGCAACAAGGGTTTTACAAGGTAATTGCCAGATCAACAATTCGTCCCCAAACACAATCTCTTGATTTGGGGCCACGTCTAAATATTTGTCATGTAGTCCCGCTGTTACGTCCGATGAAATGGACTTGTCCGTGAACGATCACATTAAAATATAGCAGCTGGTCTTTAGGGTGCTGCAACATTTTTTTCTTCTTAAAAAAACAAAATTTAAAAAATGGCCAGAGGGACTGTACCTTGTTTAGAAGGAAATGGAATACCTAGCGGAGTTTCCTCCCCACCCCTGTTTTTCCATTTTCCCATTTCCTCCTCACCCCTATTTAAAAACACTTCTCTCACACACACAGAGAGAGCAAGGTCTGGAGACTGGACAGAAGTCCTTGGGGCCGAAGGAGGTCAGTCGTCCAGCGTGAGGGAGCCTCTCTTACCGTGAAATGGCAAAGAGCGCTGTCAGAAGGGGGATGAGCTTCAGGGCTTCTTGGGGCAGATAAGTGGAGAGGACGGCGATGTTGAAGAAGTACAGGATGAAGAGCTGCACGGACTGGGAGACGTAGTGCCGGTGGATTTCCACCTCCCTGTGCAATTCGTCGAAAGCCTGCAAGGAGGAGAAGCAGAGCCGGGACACCCCGTACACAACCATTCCTAGACGAGAGAAGGCACATCAGTACGCAGGCGAAACGTCACAAGGAGCATCCTCATAGACTTCTGTTTTGGCCAGGTCCATCTATAACACTACTATTTTTTTCCTTTTTAATTTCCTTGTTCGTCTGCTACATCTACACCCTATTCCTTCACCAAAAAACTCAAGGGGATGTATGTCTCTTTCTCATAGGTTTATGCTTCCAACCATCATGTAGGCTTTACAGGAATTTGACTAGCTCAAGGCCATTTTATGACAAAGTGTGGGATTTGAACCCAGGCCTCCCTGAATTCGAATCCAGTACTTTAACCACGACGACACATTCGCTCTTCTTCAAGCTCTATGCTAAAGAGAGCGAGCGATACTCGCAGAGACAGCTGACCTGGGACACTTATCACCATTTCAAGCCACTGTCCAGACAGATGTGGTTTGTTTATTTATTTATTTGATTTGATTTGTATCGCGCCCATCTGGTCTGGTCGGCCACTCTGGTTGATGGGAAGAAGAGCAACATCTCTTGCCAGAGACGGCCTGTGCCCTTTCAAATCTCTTAAGGCGACCTCCAGGCAAGTTAGAGGTTCCTCGGATAACAAACATGGCTTGGTATGCTTGGATTCAGAGTCGGCTTTACAGTGGCAGGATCCCACCAGCCCATTTGTAGGCACGAGAGGCTCCCTGACCCTTTTTGAAGAAGGCTTTCCCTCTCTCCCAGATTGAGCTGCTTCTCTAGTTGTGACATTTTTTTTAGACAAGGCAGAGATCAGCCCTGGCATCTCCTATTCCATGGAGAGCGTGACAGAGCTACCAGTCAATTAATCCACCCAAGAGCCCTTTGTTTTTGTTTAGAACTAGGTGGAATTAGCAATGTATGGAAGCGAGAGCTGGACCATAAAGAAGGGTGACCGCTGAAGAATGGATGGAAGAGGGAGACCACAGCTGCAATACAAGGAGATCTGCAAGCGGGATCTGAAGGCCTTAGGAATGGACCTCAACAGATGGGAAACCCTGACATCTGAGCGTTCAGCCTGGAGGCAGGCGGTGCATCGTGGCCTCCCCCAATTTGAAGAGGCCCTTGTCCAGCAGGCCGAGACCAAGAGGCAGTCCCGAAAGCAGCAAAATCGGGGAGCTGGACAGGGGACAGATTGGCTTTGTCTTTAGTGTGGAAGGGATTGTCACTCTCGAATTGGCCTTCTCAGCCACACTAGATGCTGTTCCAAGTCCTCCATGCAGAGCACGTGGCCATCGTCTCTCGAGACTGGAGGATGCCTAATCTTATTTCCCCAGCATGCCTTACTTGCAGCCTTCTCTGGACCCCCTACCTAGGTTTAGGAGACAGGGTGCCAATCAATAGGAAGGGTTGCTTTCTATTAGCTGGGAAGAGCCCCTTTTAACCACCCTTTCCCCTCCAGAGCAACAGGGGCAGACGACGTAGCTCCACTCACCTACTATGATTGGGAACGTGGCAAAAACCCCACAACGAAGCGTATAAACCAGGCGAGAACTCATGGTTGGCATTAGTGGTGCGTCAAAGGGCAGGAAGACATATGCGCCATAAAGGAGACAAGGAAAAATGACCATGGCTGTCGTCATGGAGGCGACCGCCTTGAGTTTGCCCGAGCTACAGTTGCCGTTCTGTAGACAGGGCAGCTTCTCGGCATGCCTCTTCTTCGGCGGCTCTCCGTTGTAACCGGGCGAGTCATCAAAGCGGGACGAGTAGCCACGGGAAATGAAGTTCTGCTTCTCGAGGTCTCCTTTCTCTTTCTCGCAATGCATGATCTCCTCCTCGCGTTCCCGTTGCTTCTTTTTGTGTTCGTTCTGCGTCGGAGGGCGTTCGATGCAACGAGGGTCAATGGGGATGAAGACATGAGATGCCACCTTGGGCGTCCCGTTGCTGCTGTCATTGTCCTCTTCTTTGGCGGTCACGGTGGAAGGGAATCGGGCGAAAGCTTCATCATCATCATCATCATCCACAGCAGGACCCACGGTAGCCTCTCCTCGGCTTCCTTCAGGACTAGGCCTTGGGTCTGCTTCCAGTGTCTCAATCATCACGCTTTCCTTGCCTTGATCCCATGGCAAAGTCATCTTGGGATTCTCAAAACTGTGTTGGGTATAATTTGGGGCTGCTCGGTTCCCGAAAGAGTCATTTCTCAAGACCACCATCCCCATTTCCTCAGAAGGAGCAACCGCTGCCATCTTGGGCCCCTAACCTTTTTTTGAGACACTCCAAGTTGCTGTTCAACAGCTTTGCATCTCCTGCAGGGTTAAACAAGCTAGATGTCCATGATCAGATTTTCTTTTCTGAAAGTACCGATTATCCAAGATGGTTAAATAACTGTCGTTGGAATTACAAAATGGAAGTGGCTGCCCAGGAAACTGTCGGCTCTCTGCATCTTACTGCGTTGGACTTTGATCTACCAAGGGATGAAAAAAAATATGGGCAGTAAACTGGTTTTAAAGACATCCCAGTGTACACAACATGAAGGATTGTTTTAGCCATCGAGCAAAGAAAATATTAACAGTACAAAATTATCAGCACTGCCAACATGTTCTCTTTCTCAACCATCACATCAGCAAAGGAACTGCAATGCCCAAGTTAATCTTTTACATGAGAAATTTAACAAGGTAAAGCCTAGAACAGAATCAATAAAATGTTCAGATGGGTTGCCAGATTCTTTAAGACCAGATCTGACCAGACTAGGTAGGCAGCAACTACGCATCAATGATGAGACAGACATCATCTGCTCAGGAACTAAAACCTATGGGTTGCCAGATTCTTTAAGACCAGATCGGACCAGACTAGGTAGGCAGCAATTACGCAGCAGTGATTGAGACAGACATCATCTGCTCAGTAACTAAAACCCGGATCGACTTGAACCTTTCCTTATTTTGGCATGAAGGAAGAAGAGAAAGAAGGTGAACCAGCACTGTAACCGTTACCTTGACTTCCTTCCACATCTGGAAATCCCTCTGGGACCACCAGTGCAAATTTTATCCCTTTGAACTCTACACGGATCATGCCTGCACAAACATCTCTTGGGGAACCCTATGGCTTGATCTTCCCATAACTCCTAAACTGCAGGAACTTAGCAGGTGGTAAATTCCATTTAATGAAATCAGACTCACTTCCCGGCATCTCGAAACAGAAGTGCGGCCTTAATTTCTTGGTACTTTCCTCTTAGGGCATCTCCTAAGGTGCTATAAGAAGCCAGGTTTAGGCTGAATATCAGGAAAAACGTCTTGACGGTTAGAGCAGTAGGACAACGGAACCAATGACCTCGGGAGGTGCTGAGCGCTCTAACGCTGGAGGCGTTCAAGAGAAAATTGCACCACCCTCGGCCAGATCTGCTTTGATTTGAATTCCAGCCTTGAGCAGGGGGGGGTCAGACTCGATGACCTTATAGGACCCCTTCCAACTCCGTGATCCTATGTTTTTGTTAACGAGAAGGATATCCATGAGACCATCCAGGAAAGATTGCGGGCAGACGTCAAGCAATCTCCAAAGTGAAAAAGTGGGCTTTGGAAGATTAAAAGAACGGGTTTACTCACCTCATTATTAAAGGAAGTCAAGTAACAGATGCACAGTACCATCTAGAAAAGGCAGGCGTCTAAAATTAGCTCACTCCATCCTTGGGTTGGCTGGGGACTCTACACACTGTAGTTCGAAAAACTTTTTCTTTTTGGTTCTATCTTAGACTAGGTATATCTTAAAGTATAACAGTAAGAACTCCCTGTGATGCATGCATAGCACACTAAGGTGTCAGATGGGGGTTGTGTTTCCATGTACAACTATCTGGTGAAAGCGCCATGTTGTATAATTACATCTGTCCAGATAAGCAGAAGGACGCCAGTTACATTTTGCAGGATGGGCTTGCTCCCATTTTACACATGTAGTATTGGCTACTACATAGCTACTGCTGTGTATACACGTAATTTTCCACCTCTACAAACAGCGGCAAAATATCTCCCTATTGATATTCTAAGGGCCTAATCACAGGGACCATTTGAACCATTTTTCTCCTCCTCTTTAAACATATTTTCAATATATTTGTATGTGGTATACATACTCTTGGTCCCGTTCACATGCCTTCCGTTGAACTTGTGCATTTCTTACTATTTGTACTGATCCCGTAGGATTCCCATGTGCTGTTTAATCTGAATCGATTCATTTCCCGTCCTGTTCGTCTGGGTCCTCTCGACCCAAAAAATGTTCTTTAAAAATATATATATATTTGTCGATGATCTATTGCTAAAGCAGCATATCTATCTATCTATCTATCTATCTATCTATCTATCTATCTATCTATCTATCTATCTATCTATCTATCTATCTATCTATCTATCTATCTATCTATCTATCTATCTATCTGTCTGTC